GGTGCCTTACTTATGGATGTTAAACAAGCCACAACATTAGCATCAGTCACAACATTGGTCTTCCTTATTGCTGGAGGATACTACATTCAACAGATTCCCTCGTTCATTGTCTGGTTAAAATATTTGAGTTATAGCTACTACAGCTACAAGTTGCTTCTAGAGGTTCAGTACAATGACAGTGATTTCTATGAGTGTTCAAAAGGAGTCTATTGCCAAGTTGCAGATTTTCCTGCCATTAAATCAGTAGGCCTAAACAATATGTGGATCGATGTTTCGATCATGGCTGTGATGTTGATAGGCTACCGACTTGTTGCGTATCTAGCACTCACTCGTGTACGATGATGATTCGATGAAGACATTCGAAGAGGACATACTTTAGCAGTGAGGTTGAAAGAGTTCAGTTTTCTGCGATTGGGAGTAAGAATGTTTTTGTTTTAGATTTCTTAATCAACAACATACCCGGTGTATTCTGATAGTCTGGGGAGGGTAGTGTAGGGTAGTGTGTCCGGAGACCGTACCCCTATCTTGTGGAGGTAAATGCTGTTTCCGGAAGTTTTAGATTTTGTTGATCTCGTTGCAAGATTTTAATCATATAAAAACAAAAATTTTGATGTAATACTACCACTCTGGCAATATTTTGCATAATGTTAACTTGGGAAAATTTTGAATGCCTTGGAGACTAAAATCTGTTACCACTCTGAATATATTGAAAGTGCATCATTTTAAGATGAAACAAAGAACATGTTCGATTTCTACCTTCTATTTAAGAGGTTGGATTTATTTTAGGGCGTATAGAACATGTAAATCTCCCACGACAAGCATAAGCACGGTTCAAAACTCAATGGATAATATGAGTCTTATACTTTGTGACGCATCTAACACATACCTTTAGTTCGGGGCCTGTGGCTGAACATAATACTACTAGTGGTTTGAGGATCAAGTAAATAACAAGAAATGATATCCAAAATCCATGTCATTTTCAACTATGGTCAATAAACTGCCTTATCTCCTTTTCCTACTCTTGTATGTAGTTTGATTCGACACGGAATTTTAAGAAAAAAAATAAGACTTTTAAAACTTGTGGTTTTAAAAGCTTAAGGGGTAAAAGTTTTGTGGGTCCATGATATTTGTATGGTTATAAAAGCTTCTCATTAAAGATAAAATGGATAAAATAAAGTGTTTAAAGTTAAATTATTTCCAAATTTAAAAATGTCTCATTTATTTTGAAAAACAAACTAAAAAAGAAAAGTAACTTTCTTAATTTGAGACAGTGCGGAGTAGGTCTTTGCTATGCTGTCCTTGTCATTTTTAAGAGAATTAAAATCATGGTTTTACAAAAAGTGGCAACTTTTACAAGCTGTGGGCTTGTACCATAGAAGCTAGACGAAAATAGAAACCAACTATCCCTAGATAATGAGAACAGATTGCACTACTAGATAACTCTTGGTAGAGAACTTATTACTCCCTCAATTCCTTTTTTGGCAAGTACTAGAAAAATGGAACATTTCTATATTTAAAAAATAATTTAACTTTAAATTTTCTACTTCAACCTTACGAGATGATTTATAATCACACAAATATCTATAATTTATTTTATATTACACTTTTAGAAGTCATTTTTATCTTATACTCTATGCCCAATCAAATAAAATCACATAAAATAGAATGGAAGAAATACATAGGTAAAAGATTATCTGAATGAAGAATGATGATCTTTTTCCAACTTGTTTCGCTTGACAGACTGTAATGTAGATCGATGTACCGAGGGAAACTAAACTTATTTGGAGAAGAATGGGGATATTAGTGAACACCAAAACCTTGTCAAATGCCGGATGCTAAATAAGGATAATGGTACTTCAGAGGCGGAGCCATGATTTGGAGTTTTTGGATTCTGAAATTGTCATCGAACCTCATAGCTCCAATCCTCAATCCGGGCTCAATGACGGGAATGAATGGCTTCTCTTGTCTCCTCGTAGATCCAATTATTAGGTTCGGTCCAGTAGTCAAAAGCATCACTAGCTTAGTCTCTAACCACGTGCCTGTTGAAGAATGAGCCGGGCAGTGGCTTGATTAAGGAAACCCACCGAAGCCGTAGCAAAAGCGAGTTTTCATAGGGTAATTGTCACTACTTATGGACCCGGACTTTGGTGATCTATAATGACCAGGATGAAGCTTGGGTGAAACTAAGTGAAGGTTCGACCGACTAATATTTAGTTACTGGGTTCACAATTAATGTACATATTTAGTAAATTTTTAATACAAATAAAGGGTCTGTGCAAAAGTTGTTGGATTCGTCTGAACCCGTATCTACTTCTTTAGCTCCACCTATGTGGTCTTCATTTGTATCGAGAGTCGAAATACTTAATTCTTTGTGTGAATTTGAACATAAATTTTTAAAGTTTCTTTTGAAATAGAGTTTGCATAATTAAAATTTACATTAATTGTACAATAAGTCTTAATAATTAATACTAATGACTATAGCTAAAATATTTATGAAGAAAATCATGGTCATACACAAATTGACAAAAGGAGTATATAACAAATTAACATCACAAGCGGTACATTTAGCACCGTTGATATAAAAAAATTTTATACTATTAGATCTTTCCAATGATATCTATATTTAAATCTGTAAAATATGAGATTTATAATCTTGAAAATAAGATAAGTTTGTTGCTACAACAAGTCGCGAGTCTATCGGAAATAGCCTATTTGCCTTTATAGGGTAGGGGTAAGGTTGCGTAGACACTATACTTCCTAGACCCCACGTATAGTATTAAGTTGGGTTTGTTTTTATTGTACCTGCTACAATAAATAAAAATGACATGCTAATGTAAAAAATTCCTTAAACTAACCGCATGTATAACTTAAACTGTATTGTAAATAGAATCTTATAAAATGACAGAAGGAATATATACCATCTCTAATATCTTATTAAGTTCTTCAATCTAAAATTCAATCTTTTCCTAGAAAAAGCAAAAGGAAAAAACTCAATATATAAAAGAAATTATAGTTTTTTAGAAAAAGATTAAAAAAAAAGAGAAAAAAAAAGAAGAAAAAATAACATTATATAGCCGCTATCAAAATAATAGTAGGAAAAAAATATATTTGTTTTGCATATATATACGTTATGTATGTCATCTACAAAAATTATACAATTTTTATACGTTTTTCGGCTATCTAATATAAATAGTTTATGACGCGGTCTAAAAATGATAATACCCCCAAAAAGTAATGCGAAACCCAGTTAAATTTTGAGAGACCAGGCCAAAGGCCCCAAAAGGAAATCTTACAGAAATGTCCCAAAAAAGTCTCAACTTACCAATCTCTAACCATTAATTATAGACATACCAAAACTAGCCAAACACATATAAAAATTGAAAACCCAAATAAATAAGGTTCGTTCTCTCCAAGAATCACACACAAAGATCTCCTTTCATATTTTCAAGAGTGATTAGCAACATTAGATGCAAGCCGGAAAGGAAATTTTGTGGATGAGGTAGCAAATAAATTGATGAAATACAAAGAAAATATATATACAAGATCTAAAAAATCTAAGCAAAAATGGACTTTTTCAATGGGTATGGTTGAGATTCATTAAAAACATATAGATGAGTCAATATATAAAATTTGAGGAAGATTGGAGGTGATTTGGACTGATTTGGTATCAAAATTCGTAGTTAAAATCGAGTTCAAAAAAGTTCTTCCGCAACACAGGTATCAAACATGTATCACGCATGTATCTCATACGCAGGTATACATGTGATACACATTTGATACAAATATGATACAAAAGTGATACACCGTGTGATACACCTATTATTTTTTTCATGTTCATCTTTTACTTCGAATTTTTAATTCAAACCACCTCAAAACTCCACAAAATCATCCCAAAACTGAGATTCATGCTCCTTAAGATGTACCCAATATATTCTAATTAATGTTTTAAAATATTTTTCTGAGACTCGCCCCGGGGCGGGCCACTATCAAAACGCCTTGAGATTCATGTGTGGGGTTTAGTTGTGTGAGGCTTACGCCCCAAGCACCCGACGATGCGCCCTAAACACGCCTAGCGCTCAACGCTCGGGACTCGCCCAATAGCTCATATGCAAATCATGTGTTGAATTCACTAATTTGCATCGTTATCTTTCAAAATTCTTTAACAAATAAATGATTACAATTCTTTTTAACTATAGAAATATGAAAATTGTGAATAACTCGAATAACGAACCATATTATTATACATTTACTAATTGAGAACATTGTGAGGGTGAATATCATTTGAATATTTCTTCTAAAAATAGATAACTAAAATTTATATCTTTATTTGATAGATCTTTATGTCTTAGTTCTATGTCTCTAAAAAATTATCATACATTTCTTATTTTAATGTTTAAAAACAATTTTATAGTTACTCATGAAGGAGTAATATTTTAAATTACATTCTTGATAAAATTAATTGTGTATTTACGTTTAAAGAGGTAAAATATGCAGTTTGATAATATTTTTTAAGAAATTATAATTTTTAATTATTTGAAAGTTAAGAGGTTGGAGTTAATGTATATTTCATAATAACTTTAACAATATTGTATTATTTATACTTGTAAAACATGCTAAATATTTTATTTTATATGAGTTTTTTTTTTAATTATTTTTAGTTTTATTGAACTTCTAATGCATCTTTTATATTTTATTGTGTTATAATGCTATATTATTAATTCATAAATTTAAAAAATTAAAGATCTGTGGGGCTTACAACGCATGTCTCGAGGTTTTCGCTTCGTCCCGTATTAAGTAAAATATCCCGTCTTATGCCCTCGTCTTTTGAAATACTGATTCTAATAGCACCCCTTCAAAAGAAAGTAAAAATTTGACCTTTTTAGCTATAAATAACTAATTAGTTTATATTAGTAATATTTTTTGAATTGATCAATTTTTATAATAAGCTACTTATAAATTGATATTTTTTTCATCCCTAAATCCATAGCAGCCCAATAAGGAAGTAACCCGAAAACGCAATTTCCCCCTCGAAAACAACACCATTGCCATTCCCTTTCAAAAAACTACGACTCTGCCGCTCCCTCAAAAACCCTCCATTTCCTTTTCTTCTCCCTCTCTCTCTAGGGTTTTTGCAGAATCCAAAGAGAAAAAGCATGGCAACATCATCTAGGGTTTTCGGAAGCTACTGCCGAACTCTAATGGCTGCTGCGAAGAGCTCCACCGCCGCAACTACACCTCCAGCTCCAGCTGCCGCTGCCACCGCAACTGGAAAAGGTCGTCATAAAGGCATACTTAAGCCGCTACCGGTTTCACCTGCTTTACGGAAATTTGTGGGTTCTTCAGAAATATCACGTACTGATGCTGTTAAGAAAGTCTGGGATTACATCAAAACCAATAACCTTCAGGTCTACTTTCTATTTCCTTATGTGTCACTTTTTTTTTTAGTTGGACGTATAAGTTATTAATGGTAGAGTTGCTCTTTAAAATAGCTTCGTTTTGTAGAAATGTTAGAGAAATTTGCTATGAATATGTGCAATCTCCTTTTAGAATATAAATTATGTTTGATATATGTATATATGAGTTATGAATGGTACAGGGGAATACTTGGTTCTACGTTAAAATTGCTAACCTGAGGACTTGGTCTTTGCAAAAGAAATGAGGGATTTGGGAGTGGGTTTTTGCCTGGGGTAAGTCAAACTTGAGCTGAGTGAAGTATGGCTACATGGTGATTAGGCCAGCCATGTTATATTGGACTAGATGTTGGGCTTCTAAGGTCCAATGTATGAACAAAATGAATGTAATAAAATGCCGATGTTAAGCTAGAGTGTAGTCATGAAATATTAGACAAGATTATAAATAATTTGCTTGGAATTGATACGGTGGTAGTAGCTGCTGCTGTAGTATAAATAGTCATATGATGGTGCAGGTTGCAAGTTAGATGATAAAATGAATGAGGTTGTTATGCACGTTTTATAGGTGTGGCACTATGATGAGCGAAGGTGTTAAAAAGTGACTTATAGTTAAATGCATGGTGACTTTTTTTCTACATTTTTTTAATTGAACAAATTTTCACATGGATGATTTTGTTTCATTCTATGCTTTGGGAAGATGTATAATGACCTTGTACAGGTAGTATATGTGGTCGAATGGGTAATGGTAGTGGCTGCACCTAGCACGTCAGTTGCTATCTAGCTGTGTTCTAGTCCTTTAACTGGCTTTGTTCATTTAAAGATGGTCACTCCTATTCAACTCGATCCTGCAATTGATGGAATTTGCATTCGTGGAGTCTATTGTTCTGTGTGATTAGAAGGTCGTTGAAATGATTTGAAGCTGTGGAACATATTAAGGGGTAGTGTTAAATTTTTTCTATCTAGAAGACTGGCAGATAATGGGACAGAAGCCCCTTCCAAAGTAGACTGCAAAAGAGTGAGGGAACCGGCAGCCTTTAACATTTTGGCATTGAGGTTGTTTTTGTCTCTGCATTGAGTTAGGTTACTGATCGATATGTAATATCAACTGACCTATTCTCTCTGTTATTTTACTTTCTGCCCTATGAGGCTTCCTGCAAGCTGCACATAAAATAAGAGTTGAGCTCATCTTTGCTGGTGACGGTAGCTCTTACATGATTAGTGGCTGGTACAGAATAGAATTTAGCACACTACATGATAATGAATAAGCTGGTTGGTTGTCAAGGTTTCCTTCTTCTGCTAGTTCAAATGTGGTTGATTTGATAATACATCAAGTATGACACTTTTTATATAGAGAAGAGGTAGGATGCCCATGGCATGGGTCCCGGCAATACTATGATGTCTGATTTAGTTGCCAAGTGTAGAATGATGCACGAGCTTTTGTTCTCAAATTACTTCAACACTTTGTATGACTAGCTAGGGCAGATTAAGCATGTTCAACAACATCTGTCAATGTTCAGACTTAAAAGTAGAACTTACGGATATACTTCTGAGATATTCCGTAAATTGTGTTTGATGGAAAAGCGAAACACAACGGAGCCGGGCATGATTGCCTACATTGCTCTTTTGCTTAGCCTGCTACTAGTTTCTTGCATTAGTTCCTCCATGTGAGACGAAATTAGTTGCAGAGAACAGCAACAATTGTTAGGGCAGAATAGATTATGCTTGTTCAAATAGCAACGTGGTGGTGTTTCGTTAAAATACAGTTTTGTAGTTAAATTTGAATGATCAACAATCACCAACACTTGGGGTGTCTAGATATGCTGTAACTGCGGCATACTATTGCACTGTGGCCTTAACACTCAGAGATCATTTGTAATCGTTGGCATTCCTGATTCAGCAGTTTGAGGCATAAATTTATTGCGAGTGTTGTTAATTAGTCATCGAGATTATATTCCGTCATTATGAACAGATGCTTCATCATTGATTCCCAAAATGAAATTATTACAGATCTTGGCCTTTCATATTAGTTTAGGACAATGCATATACTTCTGATATGTGCTAGGAAAAGTTGCTTTCTTAGTTTGATAATTGTTAGCTGATCTGAGTTTATAATTCTTGTGTTCTGTGCCGTGTGCCGTTTTTGGTATTTTAATACTGATTTATATCAGCTCATGCTTAAACTAGTTGTGGAAATGTCTTAGGTCATATACCCCTTTATTTTTTGTTGACAATAGAATTTATAATCTGCAGAATCCTGCAAACAAGAAGGAGATAAATTGTGACGACAAGTTGAAGACCATATTTGCTGGCAAGGACAAGGTTGGGTTTCTAGAGATTGCAAAGCTTCTATCCAGTCATTTTCAAAAGGCTTCTTAAGTTTGTCACTTTTGCAGTTCCTGTAAACATTAGGGGCCTTCTTGATAGTAAACTTTGTACCTTAGTAGCTTCTCCTTTTATTTCTCCACTCTGGTTTTGAGATATGGTGCATAGATCTGAAATTGAAAGCTTCTCGGATTTCATGCTTGCTTTTCTCCTGGAAACTTTTGAATTTTGATGTTCAGATGCAATTGTCCTGGAATTTTTGAATTTCGTTACCATTTGCTCTTTGTTGTATTTTGTATTGAAGAGTATTGCTGACTCCAACTTGCTTGAAATGAAGGTGTAAAAGTAGTAGCAGTTGTTCTTTATTTACCAAGTTCCCGGTAAATAAAGAACCATTGCTAACCAAATTTTGCATTAAATCAACTGGATTATCGGTTCAACTCTGAGATCTGTATAAGCTACCCTGAGTACCTTAATCGGTATAGTATTTTGCAGTCTCTTAATAGTATGATAAAGTGATATTCCAATATTTTATTTTATAGTCCAAATGAAATGCCTATTAATTTGGTACAGATAATCTCTGTTTAAAAAGTTTTTTCTTCAAATCTTTTCTTTTGATATCAAAATTGCTACTCCCTCCGTTTAATTTATGTGTCATAGAAAGTATTTGGCACTTGTAGTGTTAAACATGTTACTTAATTGATTTATGTTCCAATATTCTTTTTATGAATATAATGTTTGGATAGATTGTATTGTTTGCCGTCGTTTTATGATATCACACACCAGCAATATGAAAAATAAACTTACAATATTATAAAGAAAAATTATGATATGGTATATAAAAAGATAGGGTAAATGATACAATAAAATTATTTAATAATAATGAAGGGTGAGATTGAGAGAAAAAGACAAGGTAACGACTTGACCATACCAAATCGGTCATTACATAAAGTGACATATTTCGTTGTGTCATACGTAACAACGGATTTAACGATACGATACAATAAAATTTAAGTAACAATCAAAATAAACATCGTATTTAAAGGAACAATACGATACAATACAATAGGTAATAACTATCCAAACAAGCTGTAAAAGTTCCTTCTTAAAATAGAACAGACTAATAAGAAAATAGTTTCTTAAAAAAAAAACTAAATTTGAATAACCAAATACTAAAGCTATTTATGAACACATTTCTCAAGAAAAACTTTTCTGTTATAATCCTTCTGTTTAAGATTTTAAAATAAAACTTTTGAATTTGTCTTAAACTTATTACAGTTTATCATTCCTACCCGACATTTTTATTAAGGTTAGATGAAAATGTTGAAATTGTAACTGATCGAATATAAAAAAAAGGTGTTTGATGATAGGCTATAATTACATATTTTAGTCCCTTATTACACTCTAATTTACTGCACTTTAATTGAATTTGAACTTTAATCGCTAGTATTTTGCACTAATTGTGTGTTTTATGCCTTGTAAGAGTGATTACGAACTATGTAGATGTTATATAATGAATTCAAGTGATTTGGAGCTTTGAAGTCCGAGTAAAAGCCCAAGGAATTAAGTCGGGATAGTGTTCGGGGATCAACGGATGATAGGGCAATGAAACGAAGAATCGAGCAGTCATATTGCGCATTGTCTAGTAAAATACACATAACTTTTCTCTCAGAACTCAGTTTGGGCTCCACAATATAGTTTTGGAAAGCTAATTCAAAGGGTTAAAACTTTCATGTTTTACATTTTTTTAAATTCCCAACAGAATAGGGTAAAAAAGTGTGCGGCCCGCGCACTGACCGCGCATATGGGGCATAAACTGGCCAAAGTGCGCGGTCGATGCACGGTTGATGCGCGGCCGCGCACGTGCTTCCGAGAAAAATCATCCAAGGTCAATTTTATAATTTGAGAGGCGAATAACCTTGACCTATATGAAGCCCAGCTCGCCCCAAAGAGGGTATCTCTATTTTTAGAAGAACTTTGGAGGCAAGAACACAAAAGGAGCAAGGCGGAGAATTCTCCTACGAGTTTTTCATCTTTTTCTTCTTAATTCCATTGTTGGTTATGACTTTTATATTGTAATATTGCATAGTAGTATGAGTAACTAAACCCGTCATCTAGGGTTGATCGAACTAATTGTTGGATGAAGTCTTGATTACGTTTTGATATAATTGAGCCGTTTTTATTCTATAATTGTTCAACTATGTGTTTCTTGTGATTAATTGAAAAGGCCCTTGATTAATCGTGTCTAGTTGTCTAGTGTTGCTTGAGAAAGAACACTTGATTAGATTGTTGTTGAACAACGCCACTTTCGAGTAAGTTAAGAGATTAATTACTTGAATTTAAAAGCAGGATTAGAGATAACGAAGCTTTGGTGTGATATTTATGAGTTGTACAAATTGTCAACTAGAGTAATTCGAGAGAATGCTTCTAGTAAATTATCGTAATTGATCGAGAGATAAGTACCGTAAGCAAGAACTCATCATTTTTATAGAGCATTACGGCGAGATTATAGCTAACGTGTCAGGAATTAATCCGACAATTGGGAAAATCAATAACCCTAGATTCTTTTACCCTTGAATTTAACTTCATTCTTGCTTATTGATAGTTTTTATTGTCATTTTTCCTTAGTTAAATAATTTATGTTAATTATCAAATAAAATTTTGAACTCTGAAAATGGTCTGAGCTTATCATTAGCGATACGAACAATTGTAGCTAAGCCTTAGTTCTATGTGGGATTCGACTCCGGACTTGTAAACCGGATTATATTTGCGACGACCGCTTAATCCTTTTTATAAGGCATAGTTGGGCGTGACCAATGTTATAGACAAAAAAATAAAAATAAAATATTTAACAATGTTCAAAAAATTATCTATATCTATACTATATTATGATAACACGAAGGCCCTTAGCGAAATGTCGTTCGCCTTTGTTACCCTTTAAAAATAAAGTTCACACTGGACAAAATAGTCATTTAAATATTTTCCTAATATGTAGGAGTAATTATTTAATTATTTTTCTAATAATTTAGGAATAGTCATTTAATTATTTTTTTAATATTTAAGAATAATTATTTTATTATTTTCCTAATATATATATATATATATATATATATATATATATATATATATATATATATATATATATNTGATCAACACTAAATATGAATTGACAAGTATACTTAGGAACTACAAATTTGTTTCTCCATAGAATACCGTCTCTAAACTCTTGGAAATTGTCCATAAGTATGGACGGAAAAGAACGTAACATTCATTGTGCCTGTATTTACCAAAGCAAAATTTCTTTTACCTTTTATCATTCATTATTCATTTGTTCATTTATCAAATTATAACTCCTAGCCGAATTTCACATGCACGTAGAATTAGGAACATCAGTTAATTATTAGGAAAATAAAAAGTTCATATATTAAGTTGTATTATTTTACATGCAGAACAACACGTCTCGATACAGATTTTCTTCTTACAACATCAAATTTTAAATTACCTGTTACCATTAAATAAATTTTTATGGTCTGCACCATAAGTACTTTTACCGTGTAAGTATCATATTACCAGATTTACGAGTGATTTATACATTAACTTTATATTTAATTTGTTTGAAGAATCTATTATCAAAAACTTATCTTCTTTTATACCTTGGTGCTCTACATTACATCTTTCTATTTGCTAAAGAAGATGTTTTTTTCTTACGTGGTTTAACTTTCTTGAGTACTATTGTCTATTTAATTTTGATTGCTATTTTTTGTGATTTGGTATTGCTATAAGGTGCACTTTTTTCTTAGAAATACTTAAAGATATGACTTTCTATGTTCGCGTTATACACTTTTTGTACTATAAATTTAATGATTTAGTAATAATATAATTTTGGAATAGTTGCGGAGGTCATGATGTGAAGCAATGCTCAAATAATTTTTTCCGATTATTCTATTTTATAAGGAGAATTTTTTTTATAAGATTTATGTATGCAATTTTACACTATTAGTAATTGTGTCCGCCTAGATAAGTGAATATAACTTAGACAGACTGCAACATATAAACATGCATGTTTTTTTTACGTATTATAGCAAAAGTACATTAACAATCTTGGCTGGTAAGAAAAAAATTAAGTACCACTTTTTGTTAAGTAATTTTTTACCACAAGTTATTAAATCATACTCTCATATTGAAAAATATATTTTTAAAGCTTTAGAGCGGATAATTAGGTAGTAATACTATTTAAATAGACCTAAAGAATAATTTTAGAGCAAAATCTTTTCAAAAGATAAATATCAATTGAATATGTCAAAAACAAATTCAACTAACATCAAATTTTTAAGTGTCATTTAGGAGCCATTTATTGAGAAAAGGAGAAAAAGCCTATTCAAAGGAATAATTAGGCAAGTGGTCAACGATAAGAAGTTTTGATTCTTAAAATCCTTATGTTTGACATCATTTTTTTTCATAATCAATATTTATTATTTACAAGAGTTTATGCTTTTAAAATTTATTTTGTAACTCAATTATATAATTTAATATTATTTGTATGATTTTAAAAAATGTATAGTCATTGATACGAAAAACAATTTTTGCAGTTCACGCTCCTCAACAGCGTGTAATACGTTATGAAAAAAACGGCATATTTCCTCCACTAAAAAATGTTCTTAATCAGGCCCACATATTCGGATCCACCCGACCCGATACCTTCTCTCACGTTTCCCAAACAGCTGAACACACCCCTATCTCTGTTTTTCATCAATGACTCCTCGATTCGATCTTCGGTTTAGATTCTCCGACGTCATTCTCCGGTTACCGGCGTTCATTTTCCGGTCAAACCAGCCCATACTTACCGGTGAGGGTATTTCGGTCTTTTAAGCTTAAAATCATGCCAATCTCTGACGATGAGGATGAATCACTCGTTCAATTCCTTGAATCTGAAGTCCTCGCTTTCTCCGATGAGGTAAATTTATAACTTTTACATTTTCACATTTCAATTTATTCCTCTGTTTTACGAATAGAAGGATTCATTTTACTCCCTGTTCTAATTTTTGTGATATTCCTTCCTTTTTACAAATAATCTAACTATAATTTTCCCATGTTATCCTTAATTTCACAAGTTTCAAAAGTATTAATCTTCGTCCTTCATCTGGATTTTGGATTCGCTATGCTCTGGGAATATTGGTGTTTTTTTTTTCTTTTCAAAATCAGATAAAAGCTTCTACAGTACGTTGTGTTGATACTATCTGCAATGAATAAGATATAATCAAAGACGAGAAATTTT